GTGAAAATTAAGTTTTCTTTGCGTTTCTTACGTTCTTGTTCACAATGACTTGCGTTTTCTCTGAAAAATGAAGAGTTGAATTAACAGATTCCAGAGTGTTTTTTTGAAAACATGGCAGACTCTGCTGTCTTTTACTTGTGGAAAAACAAACTCTTCCTCTTTGCTGAAGCCCCAGGACATGCGAAATATGACTTAATGGCTGCGCCTTTTCCAAGCAGAATGTGTTTGTACTAGTGTTGCACCGATACCTATACGGTATTGACGAGTACCAACAAATACGGCACCTATACCATTTTGAGAGCCAAAAGTTTATTCAATTATTGCCACCCATTCCAGGTAGGCAATAAAAAGTTCTACTGGATTCACTTTGTATTAGTCTTTTTCCTGCCTCACAAAGGTAGGCAGCAGCTTGACAAAGCCATGATGGCAATTATTTTACATCCAATTAGTATGCAGTTCTTCATATATACACGCACACACACATCAATTTCAAACACATGGTATCGGGATGGTATTGGTATTAGCCAATACTGGTCCAGAAAATGGCATCAGCACAACACTAGTTTGTACCACTGATCTCCATTTATTCACAGGATTCCTGATAGGCCGTTCGTAGTACAGGGTGGAGTGAAGTCACCGGACGCCACATTGGTACTCCCTAATTAGACTGGTCGGAATGTAAACTATATGTGCACTACAGCATCATGATAATTTTTCTCATTTTCAGGGCTGCTTGAGACTTTTAAAATAAAGATAACTTTATCACTTTGACACATACTGGCTGTTTCACAGCATCAGTACATTACTATAATTTATGGTAAAAATAGGCACATCACATTGCATATTCAGTATGTGAAGTCCATGAAGTCTATAAAAAGTGTAATATAACATATTATACAAATCTATCACAACAAAATTAGTGTCTTAATAGAGCATAATTATACTGTTGTCAGACATTAAGAAAATAAGCACTGATGATGTGCCAAAAGTGTTAAATTGTTGATGTACAAGTTATATACCTTTTATTGATTACATTGTTATGGTAATAACATTACAGGCCTTTTTATTGCGTGACTCGGTGGGAGTAGGGAATACCAAGACGGCGACTTCGGGTTTTTTTTGGCCTATCAGCACTCCAGTGAATGACATTTAGATGAGTGTCAAAAAAAAAACAACAAAACATAGCGCCTACTAGTGGTGGCTTGCACATTGATCATAATTTAAATGCAGCCAACGAGTTTACAGAAATATAGTAATAAATCTTGTTTGTAATAGATTAATGTGATGAATATAAGGCTTCACATGGATTTTGGCTTTTCTGCGGTTATGGCTCATTTCTTTTTTGGTGAAAAATGACACGGTCATGGTCCTCTGGAACGGTGAACACAGCCACTGATCCTTCCCATTATAAAGAGGAGAAATTATGTGCTCCTCGTCCATTAAAACTAATTGTAGCTTTGGATTTTTTTTTTTTTTTACTTCTTGAGCTCCGTAACTTAAATAGATTAACCTTTTATGAATATTCTAGTATATGCACAGCCTGCCACTGCAAAAATGATCTAGGAATAAGTAAAAATGTCTTAAATCAAGTTTATTTAACCTTAATTTTAGTAGGTAAATGGGATGATTTGCCTAAGGAATGAGTATTTTACTCTTAAAATAAGGTAATTTTATAATATGCACTTGAAATAAGACAATGCAGTTCCTTTTTCTTATTTTAAATATAAATTGTCTTGTTCCATTGGCAAAGTGTCTCACCTACCTCCTCAATTCAAGAACAAATGCACTTAGTTTAAGAAATCTAGATTTCCATTTTTTGCAGTGTGCTTGATGGTCACCAAATCACAAAGTTGCATTATTTTCTCCTAAAGCAGGTTTCTTTATTCAGCAGGTGTATTTTTCCTACTGTTGCTCTTTTGATTATGACGCGAGAAACAGATAATGAGGAAGTCTTCCCTGTAGACATCCTACACCGACTGCTTTCCATGAAAGAAATGACAGACATGCCCATGTTAGACTGGCACATTGTCCCTGCAGCGGCCCTGAGGAGATCCCATCCCTCTGGTTGCTTTTGTCTCCGCGAGCGTATCAGATACGAGACACCAGTAGCATGTCAAGTTTTTTGGTTTCTGTGATTGGTTCATTCATTTGTCTGCTTTCTTATTTTTCATAGGGAAATGGAGCAACAGGTTATAACACTTTCTGTTCCTTTTCTCCAACAGGACGCATTGGACTCAACTTTCACCATCCTGGAGCAGAACATATATTGCCCCTAAATAGTAAGTCCCGTTTTCATGCATCTGTTGAATTTGTTTCACATCTTACAAAAAACTCTGAGTTATGAGAATAATAGTGGGATCAAGATGTGTCCATGTGGGAAAGCTGTAGGCATACCTGCCTACCATGGGGTTTGGATTCCCTAACACCATAAACCTACAGCAGAGCTCTGTGGGAACTACTCTTGACCCTAGAATAGCTCCTCCTAAAAATACCCCCCGCATGTTAAAGCAGACCCCCTCCCCTCTATGACCGAACCACATGACAGCAGCAGAGCCAGGAAGGGAATCCGGCTGATCCCATCCGCAGCTGCACGCCTTGTTGGTTCTGGGGTTTCTCGTCTTCCTCTTGACACTCTCTACGGGGTCAGCGCCGGTTTACCGTCAGCCTGTCAGCAGAGGAAAACATGAAGTGCTCTAAAATTTCCTGATAAAGAAAGCTGAACTCTGGACTTGATAAAACACAGTGGATCAACATCAACACATGACACGGCTCTCCAAATCATCACTCTGTGGAGACTAGAACCCTGGACATCCATAGACATGGATTATGTGCCGCACGCTCTTCCTACATACTCTTGGTTTCCAAATATAAAATCTATTTGTAGCTCAGGGTAGCCTTTTTTTCTCTGTAGCCTCAGTGAGACGCTGCTAATATTGTCTCTGCTTCAGGCATAACTTAACACAAGGAATGCAACAGTTGTAGTCCAGGCCCTGTATGTGTGGAGACTCTTAAAGCTCTGCCTCCAGCTGCAAGCCTTGTTTTAGGAATAAAACAAACTCTGAAACTGAACTGGCCTTTCTTTTCAAGGCTGCTCTACAGGCTGAACTTTACCTCGGTTGCTTCTTCACATTCCCCTACCATGTTTTCCTTCTACTAAACTTTCCACCAGTAATTCTGGATATAAGGAAATTATATTATTTATTCAATAAATAGATACAAATTTGTAGGGATGCACGATATTGGGATTTTGGGCAATATCCGATATGCCGATATTTTAAAACTCATGTAACCG